TCAGAGGCTTGGGGATGCAGGATCAGGCCCTTTGTTTGCAAAAGTCATTTGTGATGTTTAAGCTGGGACCGAATGCAAACAAGCATCTCTCCCAGATAAGCACTGGCTGGCTGACTCTCCGGTGCTTCCAGGGAACAGATATGCCACGTTCCAAACACCGTGCAGAGTAACTAACGACCAAACACCCAAGCCTCATTTGTAACCTGCAAATTACTCTGATTTTTAAATCGTAAAACCCACTCTCTCGGGGACAATTCGGGCTTGTTACAAGTGCTCCGAGATCCTTTGCTTGGTTTAATGGCCAGCGAAACGTCTCAGGGAACCACGCTGCAGCCATCAAGACAAAGAATTATTTTAGTACGAAAGGTTTGCCGGGGCCCCATTTATCTGTAAGACTCACGCCTAGCGGTGGCTGCTGGATGGCTGATTTATCCCACTTTTTACGCTTCCTGTTCGGGCATTCAGGGACGACTAGCAACGTTTTAAATATTTAAAACCAGAGCAGATTCCCTGAAGCGTTTCGTTGGCACTTCTGAAAACCTCCCGGGAAAGCAACTGTTGCTGCCCTCTGCTGGGCCTGATCCTGAGCCTAGAGACGTCTGTCTTCCCTCTCCGCAGGCCCGTGCAATGGGCTTGCTTTGCCTCTTGCTCCCACTGGTTTCAATCAGGAGAAATTCCCCTGGAGTGCCACCAGCACCATAACTCCGGACTGACATCAGCGTGAGGAAAGGGCTGGCTGCACGCGCAGGCCCAGGGAGAACTGGGACCAGCTCACATAGGTGGAAAAGGGGCCCCTTGGGAATGGAGCACACTCCGAAACTGCACTGGCTCGAATCTGTCCCTGCGTCATGGCTGCTGTGATGAGCTTTATCTCGGCGGCGGCAGGCGCCGTCTGCTGTGCCCGATCTCAGTTAGGACCCAATCCTGCATCCTTTACTCACCCGAGTAGTCCTTACCCCTGCAAGCAGTTGCACTGGACTCAACAGGCCTGCCCTCGGGAGTAAGGGCTGCTGGCATGAATGGGAGACTGCAGGACCCAGCTCTCCGCCAAAGAAAACAAAACGGACACAAAATACAAAGCAACGGCTCCTGAAAAACGAACCCCAAAGATCGACATCAACGTTCTCGGTTCTCCTCCCCCCCGGATCGGGGCAGTGGCTCGGGGATGGTTTGCACGTGGCGAATATGGAGCCACCAGAATGACACGTCTACACTGAGCTGGGCCCCCCCTGCATGTTCAGCAGCACCCCAGGGCAGCTGGTGTAACGGTTCTTCTGGCCCTGGGGAACTGCCCTGCGCTCTGGTGGCAAAGCACGCTCCTGGGCCGCGCATGCAGAAGTGCGCTGGGCTCCTGGCACGGCCACAGGCCTCGAGTCATGGCGTGCCAAAGCCGGCGAGGGACGTGGAACGTGCAAGTGAGCAGGGCAGAATTGGAGCCCATCCTCTGAACCAGGAGCGCGCATCCCAGTGCAGCTGGGGGGGGCAGGGAAGTGCACACTCTATTAGCAAAATGAAGAGGGGGGGCTGCAGCAAACCCCCCCCCCCACTCTGCTATTACACTAACGTCGCCGGGGGGGGCAGGAACCGCCTTGTGCAATGTTATCCAGAACCACCCTGTACCTGGAGTCAAACTTCTTGCCATCTTGGAAGGTGCCGTTGTAGTGGTAGCGGATGAAATCCCCCATCTGCACTTCCCGTGCGCAGATTTTGGGGATGTAGTACCTGTCGATCACCACGTCTTCCAGGGGGCCGGGGTCCCCCAGGCCGGGGGCCGCCAACAGGCCGAGCAGGAGGAGGAGGAGGCTGCGCCGGGCCATGGGGCTCGGAGTGCGGGCAGCGAGGGACGGGGCTGGGCTGCGCTGCGCGGAGCCTGGAGCTTCCCAGCCAGGAATGTTGTCAACGTGTAAAGTGGGCTTGAGAGGCGCTGAGGTCACTTAGCTGTCCACGCTGCTTCGCGGGGGGGGGGCTCCACGTCCACCCGGGGATTTCCCCCGCCGCGCGGGCAGGCTCCGGGGACGCGGAGGGGGAACGTCCACGCGCGGGGAATTTTTTTTTTTTGCAATTATTTCTGAGAAGGAAAAATCTGAAGCAAACTATTTATTGCAAGTTTGTGCAGGGAGAGGTCCTACCCCGCCAGCAGCCAGACTCCCCCTGGGTCCTAGTGCCGCTCTCACCGCCTTGCTCGGGGGTCGCTTCACTGTGGGGGCAGCTCCATGGGCCCGTTTGGCTACACTGGTGCAAAACAAGCCACCATCCGTCTGGGCTGTGGGAGCAGGAGTGGTGTAAGCGAGACACGAGAAGTGATTCTTCCGCTCGGCTCCGGGCGGATTCGGCCTCAACTGGAGTCTTGTGTCCAGTTCTGGGCACCGCAGTTCAGGATGGATGTGGATCAATTGGAGAGAGTCCAGAGGAGAGCCACGCAAATGATGAAAGGCCTAGAAAACCTGACCTGTGAGGGAAGAGGGGTTTGTTTAGTCTGGAGAAGAGAAGCCTGAGAGGGGACAGGAGAACAGTTTTCAAGTACATAAAAGGTTGTTACAAGGAGGAGGGAGGAAAATTGTCCTTAACCTCTGAGGACAGGACAAGAAGCAATGGGCTTAAATTGCAGCAAGGGAGGTTTAGGTTGGACATTAGGAAGTTTTTCCTAACGGTCAGGGTGGTTAAGCACTGGAATAAATTGCCCAGGGAGGTTGTGGAATCTCCATCATTGGAGATTTTGAAGAGCAGGTTGGACAAACACCTGTCAGGGATGGTCTGATAACACTTAGTCCTGCCGTGAGTGCAGGGGACTGGACTACCCGACCTCTCGAGGCCCCTTCCAGTGCTACGATTCTATGATCGGTAATTATCAGTCAGGAGTAATAAATACAGCGAATGAATAATTATTAATAGCAATTTCTAGCACTTTTAAACCTGCTGAGGAAAGGTGTTAAGTGCAAATGATAATGAATTAGGAATGATTGGTGTCCTATTTATCAAATGCACATCAGACCATTGCAAGCATCTCTGCCTTCCACAAGCTCATCTGCGAACAGCGATCACCAGAGTTAAGTGCGCTCTGCACATCCTGGATACAGACTAGACATCTAGGAACTGAGATGGGACTTACTGGTCCTCAACAGATGGGAACAAGGATCCAGACAGAAGCTTGTTGTTCACTTCTGGAGTCAGCAAGTCCCTTAGTTGTCTGCAAGGCTGATGGATTCTTGGCTTTACGTGTTTAGGTATGAGGGCTGCTGCCAACCATCCCACCAAGGGAAGAAAGAGGGTGCTGGCCCTGCGACCAGTCATTGGCCCTTCTAGAAGCGGGGAACTTCCTCTCTAGTCTCTGCAGTGCTGTGGAAAGATAAGCACTGGTTATTTTCCCAGCAGTGTGTGTCTCCTACTGCAGCTGATCACGTGTTAATTCGCCCAACACTTCACCTCTCTGTGTTCAGCCCTTGGCACTGCCCAGCATGCAGACTGGAAGGTCTTTGGGACAGAGACCTGGCCTTCAGACCTGTCTGCAAGGCCCCTGGCGCACTGCTGGCATTGTATAAATGATGTTTGCACCTGTACCCATCTGACAGCCCTGCAGGTCTCTGCTTCTGGTGACACGCACCCCCCTGGGCAGAGACATCAGACGGTACAGGGCCTGGCCTCCAAACAGGAGCTGAGTGGTCTGGCTGGCTCCTGGGCTGGCTCTGTGTGACTGTCACCCTTCAGATTGATCCCCAGCTGAAGATGCTGCTTCCACCCCCTTTGTCACAGCTGCAGCACTGTCCAGTGCAACACAAACATTCCCGTCCTAGCGAGACGGGCTGGGAGCCCGGCCCTGGGCTCCTTTGCGCAGTCACGCCTGGACCGGGCAGTTGTGGCCAGTCCTGTGAGCCCGACACGAATGCTTCTTAAACCCAGTGCAGCACTTTTCCAGCTAAAACTCACCCACACGGAAAGCTCTGCCCCTGCCTGACTGTGGGCTGCACGGGGAGGTTGAGGATGGACCCAATAATACTGTAAGTGCCGCACGTCCCCGGGTCCCCGGGCGAGCACAGTGTCGTCTCTCACACGGCAGCGTAATAAGGGGAGTAACAGAACGGGATCCCAGTTACTGTCTGGCCCCACCAGTCAGTGGGATCCTTCCCGGTGCCACTCACCTGTTCCTTGGGCATGACTGGCTGGGAGGGACGCAGTGTGGATTTGGGCAGTGGTGGCTCGGCCATGCAAACGTCCCCTGTAAGGCAACACATGCTCCATCAGAACCAGCGCTAGCCATAAGCAGACTAAGCAAGTGCTTAGGGCCCCAGTGGCTCGAGGGGGCCCCTATTAATGATTAGTGTATGTGTGTGGGGGGTGTTCCTGCTTAGGGCCCCAGTGGGCTAGCACCAGCTCTGCACTCAATGTCCAGGGCACAGTGTGCCAGGGAGAAGCGGGTGCAGGCGAGATCCTGGTGCCACAGACGTCAGTGGCCACAATCCCATTGCCTGCCGTGGGGCCAGGGTCTCACCCAGCCGGGGCAGGAGCATAAAGTGTGTGGTTGGTTTGTTTTTTTGACTGGTCAAAGCAAATCTTTATTTTAAGATGGGAGTTCCTTCTCTCTAAGGAGAAGTCGCCCTGTTACAGGTGCTGAATTAAAATGTAAAAATATAAACGTTAAATTTCCTGATGGCAAAATAAAATGGTCATCTTAATTTATTGGTATCTTGGATGCACCATTTCCACGTTAACTCTTGTAATAGTGGAGCAGTCATTTTTAAAAAAAATATAATGTTTCGTGCAAGGAGCAAACTCGTGCAAGGCGCGCACACACGGTGCAAGGAGCAAACTCGTGCAAGGCGCACACACGGTGCAAGGAGCAAACTCGTGCAAGGCCCACACTGGTGCAAGGAGCAAACTCGTGCAAGGCGCACACACGGTGCAAGGAGCAAACTCGTGCAAGGCGCAACCGCCAGCTGCTGGCGCAGGCAGCACTAAGACCCCGCGGATCCGCCTGGCCCGGCCTCCTGCACTCCCCGCCTTTCCCCCGGCAAGACGCCGGATGGTCCCCCAGGCTGGGCAGCTCCTTGGCGTGCGTGTGCGGCGCTGCGCCGAGGAACCGGGCGGGCATGGAGCGGGGAGCCCGGCGGCTGCTGTTGCTGCTGCTGGCGGCGGCGGCGCAGGGCCCCGCTCCGGCGGGCGCGCAGTACGAGGAGTACAGCTTCCGCGGCTTCCCGCAGTCCGAGCTGAGGCCGCTGCAGAGCGCCTACGCCGTCGCGCTGGAGCAGTACGAGGGGGAGCGCTGGAAGGAGAGCGCCCGCTCCCTGGAGGCCAGCCTGCGCCTGCACCGCCTGCTGCGCGACAGCGAGGCGCACTGCCACCGGGAGTGCGCGGGGGGCGCAGCGGGCGGCGCGCAGCCCGCGCAGGCGGAGGAGTGGGGCTGGGAGCTGGAGGTCTTCGGGCACGTCCTGCAGCGAGCCGCCTGCCTGCGGAGCTGCAAGCGCGGCCTGCCGGTCTTCCAGCTCCGCTACCCTCCGGCCGAGACCCTGCGCGACTTCCAGCGCCGCGCGCCCTACCAGTACCTGCACTACGCGCTCTTCAAGGTGAGCCGGGGGCGCAGGCTGCGCGCAAAGTATCCAGCCCCGTAGGCGTTGCAGCCAGTGGCCAGAGCGCCCCTGACTCGCGTGGGTGCGGGGTTGAACCTTCCCCGCCGGGCCCTGCACCTCAGCACGGCTGGAGCCAGAGGCGTTAGTGTTTTGGGGATGGGCGTGGGATCCATTTTCAAACCAGGGTGCAAGGGATGTGCCTAGGGTGACCAGACGGCAAGGGTGAAAAATCGGGACAGGGTGGGGGGTAATAGGCACCAATATAAGACAAAGCCCTAAATATCGGGACTGTCCCTATAAAATCAGGACATCTGGTCACCCTACATGTGCCTGGGAGCCTGCCCGCCCCATGGCTCCTGCTCTGTCTCTCTGCCCGTCTCTCACCAAGTTGTTTCACTGTTTTGTCACCCCTTCCTAGGGCCTCCTGCCCACTCAGTGTCTCCCCGACTCAGGCCCAATCCCTCACGTTGGCCCACACGTGTGGCCTCCTGAAGTCTTGGGCACGGCTCGGATGAGGGTTTGCAGGACTGGGCCCTTTGGCTCCTCCAGGCAGGGGGCAGCATCTCGGTCTGCCCAGAGCACGTTGTGGGCGTTTCACAGATAAGAAATCCTTGCAGGGTGCTGGGGTCAGCCGACGATGGCGACGGCCCCGTCTGCCCTTGGCATCTGTGGGTCCCACAGGAGCCAGGTGCCGGGCAGAGAACAAGGTGCCCTCCCCCCCATAGCCTCTGTGGGCTTGTGTGAATGTGAGCCGGTCCCCAGCCTGGAGGTCTGGCGCACTGGGGCCCTCTCGGTGTGGTCCCTTCCCAGCCGGAGCAGGAATGTGGCATGCGGGGTGTTTCCGGGTGCTTTGCCCAGTGGGTTTAAGGGGCACCCATCCCACTGCTGCGAGGGGACTGGCCAGCAGCCGTGTGCGTTGTGTGCTGTGTCGTTATTTCCTTTTCACAATCTGTGCTGCTTTTGAGCCCCATCGCACGGAGCAGGAGCAGCTGGGACCAGCGTGTAGCTCGTGCGCGCCAGGATGGAGTGTTAAAACCTTTGCCAGTTGCTTCTGGTCTTTTCTTTTCTCCTCTTCCCCCCCACCCCTTTCTCTCCTCCCCTTTCTCCCCACCCCCTTGGCCAGCCCTCCCCACAGCGGGAGCCAGGAAGCCCCCTGACTCGGATTTGCAGGAGGAATGCAAATGCCACGTCCCCTGTATCCAGAGCAGCAGAAGCTTGGGTGACTGCCGAGCACAGACCTGGGCAATAGACCCTGCGGGGATCCTTGGCCGGGGGGAGGGATAGAGCCGTCTTTTGGACCCATCGCTGGCTGCTGCTCCCTACAGTTTCACTGTCCCATTGGCCCTGTTAGCTCGGCCCTGCCCCCTCCGCTCCAGCCCTGCCGTTCCTAGAAGGTAAAAGTTCCAAAACTTCTGTTTTCGGGGGCAGAGTCTGTTTTCCCCTCGTAGCTCAAGGGAAAGGTCGTGTTCACTTCACATGGTCAGATGCAGTCGGTGCTGCCGTCCGACTGCATGGCTGGAGTGGGGAGTCTGCTTACCTTGGGGGTGGGGGGGTCCTTTTGGGAAATCCCTAGACGCCCCAGTGCTGGTGCATGCCCAGGCTGGGCAGGACTCAGTGTGCCGTAGTGTCCACCTGGCAGAAATGTGAATGCCTTTTGAAGAGCCCAAGGAAAAAGGGAGAATTAAAGGGTTTTGCCCAGGGCTCCCATTTGTGTGCATGCTCAGGAAGAGTTATTTGAACAGGCTGATGAAAGGGTTTTCCCTGGGGGTGGGGGGGCAAACAGGGGAGGAGACAAAAGGAAACGTAGTTTTGTTCTTTGCAGTTTTACCCACTGAGTTTGCTATAGAAGACCTCTGTGCGTACTGATCTATCACCCACCTTTCTCCGCCTTGCAATTCTAGCTTCTCTTTCTGTCGGATTTGCCAGCAAAGCCGGGGGTGGCTGAGAGTCCAGTGGCCTGAGCAAAGGCCTTGGGAGTCAGCATCCCTGGGTTCTAATACTGGCTTTGACACCTACTTCTAGTGCAAGCTTGGGCAAGTCATGTTGCCTCGCTCTGTGCCTCAGTTTCCCCACCTGTAAAGCAGGGATAATAAGGGGGGGGGTGTAGCAGGGAGGGGTTGTGAGAATTAATTAGGTCTGATCCTGCAGAATACCATCGCGTGAGCCATGCTGTGGGTGACTTAGCCATTGCCAGGGTGACACGGTTTCACTGGCTCCTGGAGTGCAAATGGATCCTTTAAGAGGATAGTTTAAAGTGCCGCAGTTTGAATCCAAGCTGCTCTTTCCATGGGCCGTGCTGGGGGAGCCCCTGGGAGGAGTCGGTCTTTCGCAGTAGTTTGCTCGCGCTCTTGTGCACACTTGGATTTACTGGCTAATTTCCGATGCGAGGCTCCTGCTCAGTGGGATAGTCTGTCCTTCCTGCTAACGTAACACGTTTTCCCCTCAGCCGCCTCGCCAGCCACGCCTCCGGCTGAGGGACTCTCAGCCTGGAATCGCAGAGTCTGAGGCTTGGTAACGCTGGGGCAGTCAGTACGGCTGGCAGGAGACTGTGGAGAAATGCCATTTAAGGTCCCAGCCAGGGGGCCTATAGGCCGATGAGCAGGAACAATCTGAGGTGCAATCAGACGTGACTGACCTGAGAAACACCCCTAACCTGTGGCCGCCTGGGCCTCAGAATCACTTGGGAACCTGGCTGAAAATTACAGACCCGAGAGGGTAAAGTTAGACTCCAAACTCCATGTTTAGGGACCCAACCAGACATGGCCTGATTGGCCAAAGGGCTGAGCAGCCCCAGCTCCTATTGAGCTGTGGAGGGTGGGGGGGCAGATTTGCCTGCATCGGTGCCAGAGGATGGGGGCCCACAATGTGTCACCTGGATTCATTGGCTTTTTTATCGTCTGGTTCTGCCCGTCGGCTGCTGCCGGCGAGGGATTCGCCCCAGGGCTGCTGCTGATCCAAGCTCCACATTGTCTGATTCCCACCGGGAAAGGTCCCTGGACCCACACTGGGCTCCTTTTGCATCGCTCGCTCTGCCAGCCGCCTCGGCCTGGCGATCCCATGAGATCACTTGCAGCTCGGCTGGGTTAGCAGCCAGAATATTAGCAGCATGCCGCGCTGCCTTCTGCATGAGAAGGTTGAGCGTGTCCCAGCTACTTGGGGGCGAATAAAGGAGCCAGTGTATTCCAGACCAGAGCGCCGGAGAGCTGCTTTCCCGCATTCGGTCTGGTATGATCTCGGGGTGTGAAAGAAACACCAGGACGGGAGGGATGGTCTAGGGGCTAATACAGTGGCCTGGGATTGAGGAGAGGTGGGTTGAGATCATGGCTGTGCGTCAGTCTCTTTGCGTATGTCACAAGGGGACATGTTTTCAGAACCTCGGTAGGAGCAGATGTTTCTGTGGGGCCTAGAAAGCAGGGACCGGCGGACGGGTGCCGAACCCTGCTTAGAAATCTCTCCAGCCATGGCAATTCCACTAGCCCCCTGGCAGCTTGCCCCTTGGCTGAGCGGCTCTTGGGGCGTGTCCGCCCTCCCAAATCGTATCTCCGTCGCTGCAGCGGTGTAGGTGAAGCAGACAAGCCCGAGGGGTGGACGCAGTTGGACTGGTATAGTGGTGTTATCCTGGGATAGCTTAGCCCCCTGTGGGAAGGGGAAGAAGCCATGCGAGTATAAAGCCCTATTACCCGGAATACCTGTGGTATTGTGCTGTGCTAGCTGGACTGGGATGACTGAATCCGGACAGCTTTGGTGTAGGCAGTAGGAGCCGTGTGGATTTTCTGGGCCGGTGGCTGGCCGGAGCGGAGACGCTGAGCCCCGCATGGAGCTGCCGTGAACCCCGGGACTGAGCTCACTGGGATGGCCTGGAGAGACCCTGGCTGCAGTGCCGTGCGACTCTCTCCCTCTCTCAGGCCAATAAGGTGGAGAAAGCCGTATCTGCTGCTCACACCTTCCTGCAGAAGAATCCCAAGCACGAGATGACGCTGAAGTACATGAACTATTACCGAACCATGCTGGACGTGGACGAGTACCTCGTGGACTTGGAGGCCCAGCCCTACGAAGTGAGTGCGTCCCCAGGGGGCCAGGCTGGGATAAGGGGGATGCGGGTCGGGATTGAGAGGCATCAGCAGAGCTGTGGGCCAGGAGGGAGGACAATGACAGAGCTGGGTGGGGGGGTGACCATGCCTGGAATGGGGGGCTGCAGGTCAGGTTTGGGGTGCCTCAAGGATGATCTGGGGAGGAAGCTTTGACGGGTTATCTCTGCATCGTGCCTGGCCCTGGCCACCCTGGTCTGTCTGAGCCTCGCCCCCTCGAGGAGTAGTGGTAACTGTGAAGCTGTCGCTTTCAGAGCCGCAGGAGGGGCCGTGCTGGGCCCTGTCCCGTCGCTGGCTGCTCCTGGGGTTGACAGAGGCAGGCTGGGCCCTAGGCTGCAGCTCATTCTGCTCCAGCTCTTGCCGTGAGCTCCCATCTGTGGCAGGACCACGGGGAGGGAGGCATTCACTGCCCGAGGTTACACCCGTATTTCCCGAGCTCTACTCGGAGGCCCTGTCTGCTCCTCGATCAGCGTCGTATCCGGAGCGGGGTGGGGAGCTAGGCTGGAACACCCCCTGGAAACAGGTTGTGATGGCCTGGTCCCAGGCTAATTCTGGGAGCCAGATCCAGCCCTTGTGTAGGTATGCGCAGCTCCCAGCAGAGGGCGTTCACACTGGGACCTGCCAGCCCACGTACACCAGGAGAACTTAGTGGAGCGCCAGCTCTGCTGGCGTTGGGCTTCGGACCAGCTGTGTGCTCAGTGCGCGACACTTCTGGGTGCTCTCCAGTCCGCGCTGGGGGCAGGATCTGGGTTCCTTAGGAGGCTGCTGTGCTCATGTCTGTCCCCGTCCCCGTGGGCTGCTGTCATGCAGACAGCTGGGGCAGTTTGTGCACAAGCTGGGCCCTGCTGGGAATTCAGCCCATGCAGAACGCAAGGCGCCGGGGATGACTTTACTCACCAGGCTTCGAACCACTGAGTCATCAAGAGGAGCTCGAGTGATACAGAAATCAAGAGGGACTCGGTCAGTGTAGCAGAAATCCACGTATCCGGAGTGGGGTGGGGAGCTAGGCTGGAACACCCCCTGGAAACTGGTTGTGACGTCTCAGTCCCAGGCTAATGCCGGGAGCCAGATCCAGCTCTCGTGTAGGTGTGTAACGTCTCAGATACAGAAATCCTTTCTGTTGGGGGGGGGGGCCCCAAAACTGAATGAAATACTCCAGATGGTGAGGCCACATCTGGAGGACTGCGTCCAGATTTGGGCCCCCCACTACAGAAGGGATGTGGACAAATTGGAGAGAGTCCAGCGGAGGGCAACAAAAATGATTAGGGGTCTGGAGCACATGATTTATGGGGAGAGGCTGAGGGAACTGGGATTGTTTAGTCTGCAGAAGAGAAGAATGAGGGGGGATTCGATAGCTGCTTTCAACTACCTGAAAGGGGGTTCCACAGAGGATGGATCTAGACTGTTCTCAGTGGTGGCAGATGACAGAACAAGGAGCAATGGTCTCAAGTTGCAGTGGGGGAGGTCTAGGTTGGATATTAGGAAACACTATTTCACTGGGAGGGTGGTGAAGCACTGGAATGGGTTACCTAGGGAGGTGGTGGAATCTCCTTCCTTAGAGGTTTTTAAGGCCTGGCTTGACAAAGCCCCGGCTGGGATGATTTAGTTGGGGTTGGTCCTGCTTTGAGCAGGGGGTTGGACTAGATGACCTCCTGAGATCCCTTCCAACCCTGATATTCTGTGCTGCCTGGGCCTGGGGCAGGGCCTTCTGCACAGGGCTGAATTCCAGGCAGCCCCAGTCAAAGCCCCGGCCCTTGTGCTGACCAGGAGGAGATGGCCGAGGGGCTGGATCTGCCCCCTTTCCTGCTGCGGTGAGGGCCTGGCGGGGGCCCACCCGTGACGCGGGGCTGTTCCGATCCCTGCAGACGGCGTTCGTGCGCTCGGTGAAGCTGTATAACAGCGGGGATTTCCGGAGCAGCATCGCAGACATGGAGCATGCGCTGGTGGAGTATTACAAAGCCTACGAGAACTGCCTGGCCGGCTGCGAGGGCGCCTACGAGCTGCGGGAGTTCAAGGACTTCTACCCGGCTATTGCAGGTGGGGGCGCCTCACGGAGCCACGGGGCGGGCTCTGCTGCCGGGCGCTGGGGAGAAGTGGCCAAGAGGTGACAGATGGAAGCCGCAGTGTCCCCCGAGCCGCCTGTTTCCTGTTCACACACGTGTGTGGGTCCCCGGGGGCAGGTGGCTCCCCACAGAGGCTCCCCGGGGCCTGGCGTGACGTGAGCGGGGGGGCTCAGTCTGTGTGTAGCCGGATGCCCCCTAGGGTGGGGCTGAGGACGGGGCCCTTATGGGGGTGCAGGGAGCTCAGCCCACTGCTGCCTAGGTCACATGTGCTCCCAGGATGCGCAGAGGAGTCTGTCTCCGGGGCTGTGGATCCGGCGCTTTTGCTGGGTTCAGGGAGGGGGGGAGCTCCCATCCCCTCCACCCACAAAGGATCGGTCCATACAATGGCTATTAGCCAGGCTGGGCAGGGATGGTGTCCCTAGCCTCTGTTTGCCAGAAGCTGGGAATGGGCGACAGGGGATGGATCACTTGAGGATTCCCTGTTCTGTTCATCCCCTCTGGGGCACCTGGCACTGGCTGCTGTCGGAGGACAGGACACTGGGCTAGATGTACCTTTGGTCTGACCCAGTCTGGCCGCTCTTATGTAACGGGGAGGGACACAGGCCGTTTGCCTGGCTGCGGGGGACAGCGAGAGCATCGGGTGGGGGTGGTTCAAACCAGCCAGTCCTAGAAACCCCAGAGGCGTGGCAGAGAGATGAGCCTCTTGCACTGTGGCACAAGCCGCCCCATAAGTAATGGGTCAGGGAGAAACTTCCCTGTGCGGCAGGTTATCCCACCATCAGCCGCTGGGGGGCTCGTCTCCCTGGGTAGCAGGGGCCGGCGGCTGTGGGTGAGGGCGGCCGGGGCCTGGGGATGCCGGGCCGGCATGACAGGCGTTTCTTCCCAGATCACTTCGTGGACGTGCTGCAGTGCAAGGTGGACTGCGAGGCCGACCTGACGCCCAACGTGGGCGGGTACTTTGTGGAGAAGTTTGTGGCCACCATGTACCACTACCTGCAGTTCGCCTATTACAAGCGTGAGTCCCTGGGGCCGCGTCCTGGTTTGCTGGTCCTCGCGGGGGAGTGGAGGGGGAGGCAGACTGGGTGGGCAGTTGGGGGGCAGGGGCTTAGACCCCAGAGCAGCAGGGAATGATCCCCCCCCCCATGCACCCTTGCCTGTTTTCGCCCCCTCCATCTGCAGCCAGCACCTGAGCACCTCAGAGCCTCTCTCCAATTGGGGGTCGCCCTGCCCCACAACCCCTCAATGCTGTGTGAGGGGTGCCCCTCGTCTGTCTGGAGTGGGGGGCCTTGCCCCATGGCCCCTTGTGCCGTGAGGGGTTAGGATCAGAGAGGCCTCATGTTGGGGGGTCCTTGTCCTTATGCAAAGGGGGTGGCTTCCTCTGCCTTGGGGGTTCTCTCTCTGCCCCATGCCCCCCACTCACCTCCCCCCGCGCCTGGATCTCACGCAGTGTCAGTATCTGCCCTGCACCTCCTAAGCCTGGCTCCTTTGCAATGGGGGGGTCTCTGTGCCCCACGCCCCCACTCACGCCTGACTCTGGTGCAGTGGAGGGGTCTCTGTGCCCCACGCCCCCACTCACACCCCCCACTCACGCCTGACTCTGGTGCAGTGGGGGGGTCTCTGTGCCCCACGCCCCCACTCACACCCCCCACTCATGCCTGGCTCTGGTGCAGTGGGGGGGTCTCTGTGCCCCACGCCCCCACTCATGCCTGGCTCTGGTGCAGTGAACGACGTGAAGAACGCGGTGCAGAGTGTCTCCAGCTACATGCTCTTCGACCCGGCGGACGAGGTGATGCAGCAGAACCTGGTTTATTATCGCTTCTACCGCGAGCGCTGGCACCTGGAGGATGACGACTTCAGTCCCCGCCCGGTGAGGGGTCCGGGGGGCTGTGGGAAGGGCTGATTCATGGAGCCCATCAGTGGCTCAGTCCTCGGCCCCAGGAGAGGCTGTACCCCCATCTCAGGGTCTGGGGGAGCCAGGGAGGGTGGGGTGAGCCCAGCTCCTGGAGATGGGGAGCCTGGAACTGCTCTCGTGGCTGATTCGGGGCCCTGCAGGGGGTTTCCCCTCCCACCCTGGCGCAGGGACCCCCGGATGAACTGGCCCAGCTGCCCCTTGCTGGCTGGGCTGAGCGCAGGAACTGAGCGTGCCCTGCTGCCCTGGCCTAGCTCGTCCTGGTACCCTTTAACCCTTTCCACGCTGGCCGGGGGCCGGCTCTGCCTGGGAACAGCTCCTGGCCGTGGGGGCGGCAGTGAGGCTGATGTGCCCCCTCCTGTCCCCTCCAAGGAGGCGCTGCAGTATCACAACCAGACGGCCGTGCAGGCGAAGTTGCTGGACTTTGCCAAGCAGTATCTGCAGGGTGACGATGAGGTGAGCTGGGGCTGGGGCAGTTGCTGAAGATGGGGGTGGGGGCTGGGGTGAGAGGAGCCCCCCATTCAGCTTTCTGCTGCTGGAACCCTTTGGGCTGGGACCTGAGCAGGGCTGGGCCACGTCGCTGCTTGGATGGGAGCCCTGGGCCGTGCTGATTCAGTAACGGCTGCTTGATAGCGGCACCCAGCGCTACTGGGCCCCACCCCAGAGCTGGCTGCATTTTGGCGCTGGAGGAAATGAGCCCTGTGCACCTCGCTGAGACGAACAGGTCTAAGGCATTGGCTGAGCGAGTGGCTTTGGAAAGGTCTCCCAAGGGGAGAAGCAAGGCGTGCCCATTGAAACCAGACTGCCTGAAGCCCTGGAGAACGGGAGGGGTGGGGGGGGCGGCGATTCAGCACTGGCTCCTGCCGGGGTGGGCTCTGGAGAGTGGAGTCCAGGGGTGATCCCACACTGGTTCCTATGGAGGCAGGGGTAGACTGTCCCCTTCCCGCTGGGCCTTCTCCAGCTCTGCTGAGCAAAGCCCAGGGGCCGGGCTCTAGGGGACAGGCCTGCCCTGGGCGGTGATGGCTTCTCCCTCCCTGTGCTGCAGATGGAGCTGGCTGAGGGCGCGGAGCCGGACGGGCGGGACCTGCCCTCCGACAGCGAGTTTGACGGCCAAGGCGACTACGAGGAGGGATTTTTCGCTGAGTGGTGGCAGGAGCCCAAGTCCAAAGGGGACAAAGCCGACCAAGGTTACTGACTGCAGGCTCCCGCCGCCTCCCAGGGCCTGTGACGCTGTGGGGGGGAGAGGGCAGCCACAGTCTCCCCTTGCCCCATGGACGCAGCAGGAGCTCCACTGCCCTGGCTGGGCCTGGGTGGCTCCTGGGGTGACAGCACAGCCTGGCCACCTCCTCAGTAGAGCCCCCCACTGGCTGCCCCCTTTGGGAGAGGCCCCAGGGCTGACGGCTGTGGAGATGCCCGTCTCCTCCTGCCCTGGGCCGGGGCCCTCCAGCGCAGGGCTGAGGCTGTGGGGGATGGCATGGGGGGAGCTTGCTCTACCTGTGCCCACGCTCCAGCCTCTCTCGCCAGCACTACGGGCCTGATCCTGAGCGGTGCTGAGCGCCCCCATCTCCCCATGGGGTGTCGCCATCACAGACCAGCACCCCCCACGCCTCCCGCCGGAGCACAAAGGACCCTGCTCGAGGCAAGGAGAGCAAAGTCTGCAGGCTGGCCAACCCCCCTCTGCAGGGCTGCTGCTTTCCCCCAAGGGCCTTCGTTATGCTAACGAGGCTTGCTCGGGTGCCTGTGCAGGGCTGGGCTCTCTCCTCCCTCCCCCTTTCCTTCCTGGCTGCCTCTGTCCTGTCCGGGTGTGATTCCAGCGGGGTCTGTCTGCATGGCTCTGGCAGTGACGTGCGCTTGTGGGCAGCCTCTGCTGTCTACGGCTGTCGCTGCGGCCTCCCTCCCACCCCAAGCCTGGAGCTGCAAGACCCTGGGGCAGGGGCAGGCACCATACTGGCCAGCTGGGAATTTCTTCCGTTGGCATTGCCCATGATGACTGGGGGGTGGGGTGTTATCATCCCCCAGCCCTCCCCCAGCTCCATGAGCCTGGGTGAACCAGCAGCTTTGCCCCTAAGCTCCGGACCAAGCAGGAGATGATGGATCAGCCGGCGTTTGCCAGCTGCAGACGTACGCCTGGTCTGCAGGACGCTAGATCCAGGCCGGGTGAGCCGTGAGCTGCCTCTGCGGCTCTGCCGTGTATAAACACAGGCTCGCCTGGGGATCCCAACGGGCCCGGACCTTTCTGCCTTTGCCTTTTGTGCCTAAACCCTGTCTGCATGGCCCGCATTCCGGGCCTCCCTGCTCACGCTCTGCTCCCTCCAGAAGGGACTGCCCAGCACTTCAGTCTCCACTCTCCTCTCCGCCAAGGCCCCAGGTTCATGCTCGGCACCCGCTGGGGGGGCCCAAGACAGTCCCATTGGAAGAGTTGCTTGGCACTCCTGGCCCACCCAGGGCAGTTCCTGAGACGTGGCGGGCACAGACCCTCCTAGCCTGGTGCCCCGACACGCAGCCGGGCCCGCCCCTAACGGTAGCTCTTCTTTGTTTGCAGAGAGGATCCGATGAGCAGCATTCACGGGGGCCGAGTGGCATCTGCATCCGGGTCTCTGCCCCGACAGCCCTTCAGCCCCATCATCTCACCTGGGTCTAGGCCAAAGGGGCTGGGGGGGCTGATGGCCCCAAATAACCTCTCCCTGTGGGAGCTGGGGGGCCAGGACCGCCCCGGGAGCAGGACGCGGGGCTCCCCCAGGATCTGGCATGTATAAACACAGGCTCGCCCGGGGATCCCAACGGGCCGGGACCTTTCTGCCTTTGCCTTTTGTGCCTAAACTTTCTTAAATAATTCATGGACCCCTCGATCCCATTGGCTGAGCTCCGGCACCTCTGAACGAATCCCAAGCGTCGCCTGCTCTTCCCACGAGGCCTCACTTCACAGTACTTGAATAACAGCCCCCCCTCCTGCTAACACGTGAGAACCCCAGGACCAGCCCCTGCTGTGCTGGGCTCCCTGGCTGGATAACGAGGCTCCTTGGGGCGGGGCAGGCTGGGGGTGAATGGGAAATGGCCTCTCTGGGCCACTAACACACATGCTGGGTGAAGCCCTTGCGGCTCCCTGAACTATCACTCCCGTTGTGTCGTCCCCCCGCTGTGTGTGGAGGAGAAAATTCCCCCTGTGGTTCGGGAGCAGTTGGGAACCTGCGCTGCAGCCATTTGGGATTTGCCTGTAAACCTCCCCACGGCTGGCAGTCTTGCAGGGGAGGGGCAGGAAGTGGCAGATGGGGACAGACACGGCTTGGTTTGAATTGTCTTGATCCGTTTCTGGTGGCGGAGTGGGCCGGTGAGAGGCAGACACAGTGTGGGCAGGGGCTGGGCAAATCCCCTTCCCTCCCCGTGTATCCCAGTCCTGCCCCCTGCTATCCCAGGCCTGGGCTCCCCTGCATCTGTGCTGGTGCCCTCAATCCCAACCCACAGCCCCCTGCTAGCCCAGTCCTTCCCCAGCCCCAGTGCCCCTCCACCCTGAGCTGCAGCCCCATGCCGTTCCAGCCCTGGGGTTTTGTCCGGCACACGCCGAACGGGGCCTTGTGCAGCGGTGGTTACGGTGTGTGTAAATCTCTCGCAGCGTTCAGGGCCTATGGAGGAGCCCCACTAAACTCGTTCCACTGGTGACCCGAGCTGCATTGCAGTGGTGACTGCTTGCAGGGCGAGGGCAGCAGCTGCTCCCTGCCCCAGGGGCTGCACATCAGCTGCAGCTGGCAGCCTGTGGCGCTGGGGCTGCCTGGTGGCGCTCGGCCACCCCGCGTGCTTTGGCGTCTCTCACGAGACCAGCCCTTGGTGAGGTTATTCTCCATTGATTTAATGGTTCCTGCCTTGGACAGTTCCTTTTTATATTTGTGCTAAACTTTAATAAACTCCGGCTGGGTCCTTTGCCTGCTGCCCGGGCCTCCCTGCACGCCTGCTGGGCTGTGAGTCCCGCTCTGATGGCGAGCCCTCAGCTGGTCCCGGGTCTGGCTCTGGGGCCAGGCTGGAGGCGGGAGTTGAGAAGAGCTGGGGGAAGGACCCATGGTCTGGGAAACCCCCTCGCAGTGGAACACTGAAGGGGAGGGCAGGCTGAGAGGCAAATGGATCATGGGTTGTAACTACCTCCCCTGGGCCTAGAGGGGCTGGGGCCACATCTCCAGGGGATGTGGCGGATTCTCCATCACGCAGGGGCTTTAAATCCACGCCGGTGGGGGGGGGGTGTTTTAAGGGCGGTGCGACAGCTCCACCCCCGGTCAGCAGAGAGGTCAAGCACTGCATGGGCCATGGCGACCAACCTGCCCTTGTCCTACCCCGTTCCCTGAACTCAGGACAGGAATCACTGGGTGGGATTCGCCAGTCTGTGTGGTGCAGGTCAGGCCTGATGGGTGCTGTTGTCATGTCGGGGTCACCAATGTTGTCAGACGCCACCGGCGTGGTGCTCTGCTCTATCCAATGTTGATAACAGTTGGCTGTGTGCGTGTTCCCTCTGTGTGCTGCCCTGGCACTGCGCAGATCGCTGACACAGCAGACCCCGAGAGAACCCCCAATGACCACAGACTCCGATAAGGTACGAAGGCACCCGGCCAGGTTTATTGTCAAATGAAGCCCAGTCTCTAGCTCCCTGGATCAGATGTCTACAGTTCTGCTAGTACATATGTGCTCCCTGACAATGGACCGGCTCAGTCAGTGGCGGGACTCACCATTGCCCCCGAGGCCGGACAAAGACACCGCCCCGGGGATGCATTCTTATACACAGGTACAAACAAGTTACATGTCTCTCCTGATGTATTGAGGTGCAGCCCCCCTACGTAGTAAGGTACAACTCCTCTACGCAGTACGGTGCTGCCCCACCTTATGCATGTTGGTTCGAACAAAACAACTCCATCCATCATATTCCCCTTTTGCCCCTCTCCTTGTTATCTGTGTGGATTGTGCAAGTATCGGAGTGGTCTGGTACCAGCAGGGGATATGTTTATATCTCTAGTGTCCAGTACGTTTTAGGTATGTGTATTTGTGCAACATCAGCCCTTTCCTTGCCAGCTTCTGTGAGCAGGGCCTGCCTCTGGCTCACAGCTTAACTTTGCTTTATGTTAGCAAAGCCTTGACCGCTACTTTAGTTCAGGCCTCATACCGGGCCTCTGATACCAAGGGTATATGTTTCAGGGCCCCATCTTTTGACGGGTGTAATGCTCCCTTTGGCCTTAACAGCGAAGGGGGCACCCCCTCCCCCCCAGTGTCTCACCTCTGAGCTGTTGTGGTGCCACTAGCTACTAGACGCACGCACCTGGCAGCATGGCCCCACAGTGCCCCTACTTCCCACCCCATCACCCAGCCGGGGCACAGCAGAGCCGGAGGGGGCAGGAGAGTGAACCCGAGCAGAAGGATGTGAGGCCGAACCTCACCCCACTGGAGAATGCCAGAGCCCTGGCAGCTACCCAGGGGCAGGGACTCCTGGGGGCAGAGCAGGCACCTGGCGGGGGGGACTCCGCTCCCCACAGATAAATTATCCATCGCCCGGCTGACGATTGAGGCCTGGCCCCTAGGTTTCCACTGCTCCCCACTAGGTGGCGCTGTGAGCCTTGAGACCAGGTGGGGAAGGTTGCTGTGGCTGGGGTGTGTCGCCCTGAGCCCCACTGTGCTGCTCTCTGGGGCAGGGAGTCCCAGGCGTGGCAGGAGCTGCTGTAGGGACCAAGGCGGTAGCTAGGGGCCTCTTGTGTCTCTAATACCTGGTGTGGGCTCCTGCTTCTGGTGGGATCTGGGGGATGCAGCCTGAGGGCCTGGGCCCAAGGCATCAGGAGAGGGGCAAAGGGAGCCAGTAAGTCTGGTGCTTTGCAGCCAGGCAGTGATGCCCTGGGGCTGCCCCATGCTGAGGAACCGGGCCTGGAGAGATGCTGGGGTCCCGCCCGGGAGGAGCTGACAGAGAGCATTGGGAGACACTTGGGGCAGGGACTGTCTACAGCCCGATGCCTCAATAATTGCTCTGGCCCCTGGAGGGGTCCTGCAGGGCAGGGCTGGGGTGCTTGGGGCCGAGGGGAGCTTGCCCCCTTCGCACCTGCTCTCTCTGGCTGGCGCAGAAGCCAGCCCCTTTGTCTGAGCCGCGTTCTCTGAGGAGCCTTCCCTTCCCCCTGCTGGCTGCGACCCTCCCAGGGGGCTACTGGGCCCCCGGCCCAGCGCAGGTGCCAGGCATTTGCTGGCTGTCAAATGTGTCCAGACCCGGGGGGCCGAGAGCCACTGAACCAAACTAAACTCTGGATATAATGGAATCCACTTCAAGCCAGGGGGTGCGGCAGCCCCCGCAGTTCCAGCACCTCTGGTCCAGACAGGGAAGCCCGAGCTTCCAACAGTGGCCTTTCCGCTGGGGCTCCAGTTCCCGGGTGCTCCACGAGGGCTGGTCCCAAGGCAGCTGTGGGCGCTTGGCCCCTCTGATCTCCAGGGGCCCGGGGCCGCAGGTTGGGCACCCGCCTGATTTGCCACTTGTGGAACTGTTGGGGCTCCAGCCTCTTCCTTTGTCTGCAGGAGGCCCACGGCCCGTGGGCTCCCCCAGCGCAGGCTGGGCACAGGCAGGCCCGGCTGCTCTTTGCCACCCTCTTGTGGGATGAGCCACGGCGTGGGGGAGGGGAGGTGGCCCCTCCCAGACTCACAAACATCTGACTCACCTGTGCCTGGGCGGGCCACAGTAACCTGTGTGTCCTGTTCCCTGCCCCACCCACTGTGCATAGCCCCGCCCTGCCCCGGGGGCTCAGCAGTGGCCTGTGACCCTGCGATGGGTCCTGGGAGCATGGCCCGTGCTGGGAGCCAAGGGCCCAGCCGGGGGAGCAGGGGCAGCATTGGCCTTGGTTTGGGTGCTTGGTTTTCAACGGGCCAAGGGGAAATGTGGTAACTTTGCAGTCACTGGGAAAGCGCTGAGCCCCACCCCGCCCGGCTGGGCTCACTGCAGCCCTGAGGACCCTTCCCGTTCCTTACATCCCGGTCCCTATGCTCCAGGGGCGCTTTGCTGCAGCCTGATACTGGGCATTCAAACTTGCAGGGACACGTTCCCCTTCCTGGATGCAATCTCTGCCGGCCGCACTCCCCGTGAGTCCCAGTGTCTAGCTGCCCTGTGTCCTGGGGGAGGGGGGCGGATAGCAGTTACCGCCCCCCGCCCATCTGGGAGGTGGAACACACTGTGCTCCAGATATTTTCTGCTCTCCCGGGCCCATGGGGCAGACTCGGGGACAGGGACTGGAACTCACTGTTCTCTGCTCCCCAGCAGCCTTGGGGCTGCTCTAGCTATGCTAGGGGAGGGGGCACGGCCCTGCCTAGCCCCAGAACATGGGGAGCATAAGGGTGGCCCCCACAGCACTGCCCTGGCTGGGGGAGCTGGGTTGAGGCAGGACCCCGCGTTAGGGGCCGGGAGCTGCTGCAATGGTGGCACCGGCCGTGCCCCAGACGGGGTTGGGGGCGAGTGCTAGCAGCAGGACGGGGGTGGGAGCTCCCTCTGCCGCGGTGTCAGCGGCTTGGGGCCAGGGCGGGGCACGTTGCTTTGTTGTAAACGTCCCATGGAGGCAAGCTGGTGCCTGTGCCGGGTGCAGCACTCCCAGGGCGGGCAGCGGGACGCCGTTCCCCAGCACTGGCTCCGGGAACCAGCCACGCTCTTGCTCCTCCCTGCTGAGCTGGCATTTTTGCTCCCCTTGGACGCTGGCTCCGAGGAGCGAAACCGAGAGGCTGAATCATAGCGTGTACCCTGGGGGGGTGCCAGGGCCCACCCCGCCCCACCCTGCCCTGCCCTGCTGGGACGAGCGCTGCATTCACCTTG